ATATTCGCGTAATTTTCGTGATCTTAAAACAGACTATTGCACGATTAGGTTCAATCGCTATCTGAAAGTATTGAAAGCGCGTTACGTGAATTCGCAGTTCGAACGCAGGATGCAAATGATCCAATTGATGTATCAACACTAATTAAAGTAAAATCACTTCTCTCCATTAAAAATAATTTGAAGCAGTTTTTGTTTATTTTAAATTATGAGTTAAATATTCCTGCGAAACCCCATATATTAATGATAGACTTTTTGTAATTTCTATGATAGACTCACATATCATGTTTCAATCTTATAAACAACATAATGCAAATTTTACGAGACAAAATGACAAGTAGTATGTCACAAGATTGTTTATTCTTGACGGGATTAGATCATCAATCCAGTGTGTTTTCCAATGTTAAGTCATGTATCCTTAAGATGAGTCACAGTGCTTTCAAGGTTTGTTAAGTCATACTCCTTTTTAAAATAGAATATTGTGTTGCTTAACAAAATTTCGGTAAACTTAGATGCCAGTGTTAACAAATAAGTCACCTCAGAACAAAGAATTATTGCAATTAAGCTCTATATTGCATAAAAAAGCTTTCGAAATCCTTGAAGATTTCTTGAAATTTGTTACTGAATTTTTACCATCGTCAGACAAACCCAATATAGGATGCTGTGAGATGCTCGCAACGAATATTTCTGATGGTGCATAATTTCGATAATGTTTATTATTATATAGTATTATATTGATTGGTTATTCATTGATAAAACATATTACATTAGTTTGTAATGGCCTTATTCTTATAGCCGAAACGAGCGTGTCAGATTATCCCACTCTCAATTTGTCTTGGAAATACATCATAAAATTGTCAATTGCGTATAAAGATGACATTATGAAAAGAAGATTGAAGGTACAATACTAATCTATTATATGTTTTACTTTTGCATATGTTTTTAATATTAGTTATAACATAATATACATTATGTTTTATATTACCTTAGCTGGATTCTATTATTTACAATCTCAGTTGTGGTGCATCTTATAATTTTTCAAAGTTGATAATGTCGACTAATTCTGATGAAACTTTTCAGCAAAATCTTCCGGATGTCAAGCAGATTGACAAAATGTCGACAATTGTGCGATTTTATGTTACCCATTTATTGAGCATTGTGAAATGCTATGTTGAAGTAATTTTAAAGAATGAATACAAACCTATTATTCAAACAATACAATATACTTTAATTTTTCTTGTAAGGTAAAGAAATTTTTATTAGTTTAAACTTTTACCATTCATATTCTAAAAAAAAATA